CTGGGGAATTCTGGGAGTTGAAGTCCACACATCTTCAAATTGCCAAGGTTGAGAAACACTGGCTATAAAGTGATTGGTGTATCAGGCTGCTACACAGCATCGAGAAGCAAAAGATTCCTGGTACTCATCAGGTAGACATTTGGGATGGAAGAAAGGCAGAAAAAGGGAGATCAGGTGGCTGTCTTCCCTTTAGCAGTGGGAAAGGGGACAGGGACAACCTGTGTCCTGCCAAGTTAACCACGAGCCCCTCCCCGCTGGATCCTGAGAAGTACTCCCTCTCTTCCCCATCTTTGCATCTCAGAATCTGCTATCTGGTTTCGTCTGATGTAAGCAAAGAAGGATGCCTGTGCCAAGATATGGAGAAAAAGTGGCTATGAGACCCAGGCAAGGGTGGCCTGCTTCAAATCACTCTATCAAGGAGAGTTGACCAAGGAAAGGAGGACCTTTTGCATCCCAACAAGGGACAGAGGTCAGCAGAATCAGGAGAGTGATTCCTTGTGGAAAGGATGGGTGTGAGTCTCAAGGGTTTGTCTTTGGAACTCTCCTCCTGGAGGGGACAGGGAGCGTCACCAGCAGGGCATCTTGCAACTTCTACCCCGCAGCTCATGTGCCTCCAGATCCTCCCTTTTAGGCTCCTTCCTCAGTAGCGGCACAGCTGAGGGCCTCGGTCAACAACCGGCTGTTCTCGTGGGGAGTGGGACACATCACGTAGCGGCCCTTCGCCTGCGGGGGATGGACCTCAGCTGCCGTCACCGTGGTCTTCAGCAGCTGGCTTTCCTTGGCCAGTGCCTCCTCAGGGCCCAAGCCCCCAACGGCACCCAGCTCTGCCTCTGTGGGGGCCACTCCATCGTCCATATTGACGTAGAGGATCTCCTCAGGATCTTTGGCCGGTGGGAGTGACTTGAGGGTCTTCTCCAGCTCCTCACATAGGATTTCAAAAGAGGGACGGTCCCGGGGATTCAGCGCCCAACAGCTCATCATCAGCTCATACCTGTGTGGATAAGAAGATGGGGAACTTATTTCTGAAGAATAGATTCCCCTGGTACTATAGCTGTAAAGACCCACGTAGCTGGCAAACTCAGAAAGTGAGAACCACATAGATTGCAGATAGGCATCTTGAATGCTTGTCTGGAGTACAAACATAATCTTGAAAACTCCAGCCACACTTATAGCAAATCAACTAAGACAGGGGCTCTTCCTTCCCATGGCTCCCAGGTTTTGGCTGTGTCACCTCTTCTCACCTCAACTATATTCTTCCTCCTCTGCTTCCTTTCCAGAGTTTCTCACAGAGGCACAGCGAGCTTAGATGGCAGTTGGTACCCCTTTTCAGGTCAGTGAGATTGTGCCAAACTTATTCAAGATGGGGAAGTGGGAACTCCTGTATTCTGACTGCACGAGAAACTAAGGTGGAGGTACTTACAGACTATCGAGGCAATCAATCGGCTGTTTGAGGCGGTTGCCTTGACGTAGGTAGTCGTAAATTTCACTGTTTTCCACCCCTGGGTAGGGCGTCTGGCCTCGTGTTGCAATTTCCCACATGGTGACACCAAATGACCACTGCAGAGTAGGAAAGAAGAAGGAATATAAGGAAGGCAGAAGGAAATGCAGCCCATTGGCCCACCATGGAGTCCAGATTCTTCCACTGATGCAGGACGATGGAAGCTAGTTCAGTGGGAAACAAATGTCAGCCCTGTCTACTGGCTAGTAAGTGAAAAAGGGAGATGTTGGCTCACCACATCGCTCTTGGTGGTGTAAACCCGATCTGCCAGGCTCTCAATGGCAATCCACTTCACTGGCATCTTGGAGATACGACCTTGGCGGTAATAATCGCCATTGTAGATCTTCTTGGAGAGGCCAAAATCAGCCACACAGGCTGTCATGCTTTCGTTTAGCCTGTGGAGGGAATGTGAAGGACTGTTGTAGAAAAGGGTTTGAGAGGGGAGACAAGGTGATAGTGTAATGGGAAGAAGGAATAACCTTGAGGAACAGATCGACAACCAAGATCATGGTCAGACAAAAGAAATCTGAGTCTGGGCCAGAACTGTAATCTGAGAAAGCATTTCAGACAAGACCCTTCCTAGTTCTCATGGAGATAAAGGGAGGAAGCACATTCAGACTTACAAAATTCTGTTACTATAACCTTATAATAAAAGTAGTATGAACATGCATGACTCTGATTTCCTAGTCTAGTGTACCTTGAAGGGCTGACATATAGCAATACCACTGTTGATCCCTTAAATCAGAAATGGGAAACCCCTTCAAATAGCCTATATATCCTCCAACCGTTGAAATCTGATGAGATTTGAGCAATTTCACCTCCTACAGGTCTGCTCATCTGAAATTTTGTGAGTTCTCTCATGAGAATAATAAAATATTCTAGCATTAAATTAAGTCTATGAGCATCCTAACCCAGGACCCTTCTGGATGTCTAGACTTCAACTCCCAGAATTCACAGCAATGGCTGGGAAAGTCCAAGAATTGAGGTCCCCAGATCTGGATGGTGCTGAGTTGCAATACACTGAGATGGGGCCTCTTGGTACCTCGTTGCTGAGCCCAGCTTCAAATCTCCCTTCTCAGGGTTCTCCAGCTGTACACACTCACATGCAGTTGCGGGCAGCGAGGTCACGATGGATGAAGTTCTTGCTACTGAGGTATTCCATTCCACTTGCAATGTCTGCCATGAACTTAACCAGAGTCTGCGTGGGCAGGTACTGTAAAGGAGGAAGAACACATCAGAGGAGACATAAACAAAGACGGGCTACTGGCCCCATCTCCTCCAGAAGAATTCTGGGGTTGGGAACAAACAAAAGACAGCTTCACACACCACACTGAACTAGCTAACATAGGTTTCAGTAGCTTTAGCTTCAGTGTGTGGCGGGAAATACAGCCACTGTATACGTAGGTGCTACAAAGCAGGCCACGCCTTACGCCACAATAATGTTGGGGCATTGCATGCTATGTGAACACAGCCTGACAATCTAACTCTAAGCTTTAATGTGATGTGTGAACCCAATACAGCTTTGCTATAGTGCTTGGAATCACTTCTTAATGGCCATTCCTTGATCATCGTGGCCTATCAGGGCTACCTGTAGGGCAGGGATAACAAGTGCTTCAGGTGGAACTGAACTACACATCCCAGGATCCCTTAGCATGGGCTTTGCTTCCCAGGGGTAAGCAGTCTCTTTCCAGATGTAGTTCTTGAACATCTGGAATTCTGCAGGTTTTCTGCCTCTGCTCTCGAAGCCCACTTGGGTGCAGCAAAACTAACTTCGTTTATTTTCTTGGAATTCTGTGCCACTCTCTGAATGGAGCCAACTGTTTCAGGGCTAAGAATAAATGATTGTGCGGGAGTTCGACATACCACTGGGCTCTCTCCGAGCCGGGAATATAGCAGGAAGCTGTGCAGGTCACCATGTTTCATGAATGGCAAGATCACAACAGGGGACGGATATCCTTCACTTTCTGTGTTTTGTAGACAGACTCCTTAAGGAAAGAGAGATAGGAAATTCCTGAATGCCCTCCAACAGATTAGGGCCGTGTTTCTCAACCTTGGCAACTTCAATTCTCAGAATTCCCCAGGCAGCACGGGCAATGGTGCCCAGTCCCTCAGGGCATCCCTGGATTCAACGAGCAACAAATTGCACCAGCCAAATGTCTGCCGATTGTGACGTTCCCAGACAGCGCAGTTTGTCATCTGCCGCCCCTTCTGGTTTCCATTTGAAGCCCAGGAGAGATTGCAGAACATCCACCCCTCCAACGATTGCAAAAAGTGGGACGCTGTGAGGGCAGGAAACCTTAGCATGAAAACGTCATCAGTCAACCCAGTGTGATGTGCTGGCTAGTCTTGCTCCACTCACTCTGGTCACCTTCCTGGATCTCCAGCGCAACAGCTAACCCAAAAGGTTGCATTTGGGCTCCTTGGCAAGTCCTTCCACCGTGCTATGGCGGAAAACTGGGAAGTAGACCAACTGGATCCCCCAGCAGTGAGAGACCAAACTTGCTCATCTAGCAGCAGAGAAAACTGAGGTCGTGCCAGCACCACTATTCTCAAAGAACAAAAGAAACAGGGACACGGGGGGGGGGGGGGAGACTTTCGCACGGCACCAGCTGCAGCATTATCTGTTTGGCAAGGGTTCACGGCAATCTTTTAAGAGTGCTTAAAAGTGGTCAGGAGAAAGGCAAGAGCACAAGAGGACTTCTTCTTCCCTTCTTCATCCTAAACTGGCCTCTGACCCCTCCAGGCCACACACCTGCGCCTACCCCTTGGCTTTGCCTGGGCTTCCCACTTGCAGAATGACCTTCGCGGCAGCCGCTTGCCCCGATCCGCAAGATTTTTGCATGCCTTCTGGCCGAATGTTGTTTTTACTGTATTCCTCTTTAATATGAACCAGAGGGCAGTAAAAAGGGACAGGGAGGAGGGACGGAGTGGGAGGCCCCCCCTTTGCTGCCTTGCAAACCCCAAACAAGCCTGATTTGCATTAGCCGAGCTTCCGCCCACCCGTCTGTCAGCCCCGTCCCAGTCAGGGCTCCCAACGTCCTTGCCAACATCTGTTTTCCCAAGCAATGTTCTTCCTCCCTCTCGCTCACAGCCCCATTCCCCAGGGGACAATCCGTCCCTTCTGCCTTCCCCAGCCTCCCCCCACAAGCCCAAGCCCTGTTTCCTTTCTTTCCATCATTTTTTTTTTCCCAGGCTCCAGCTGAAAAACGTTTGCCCCAGATGGAATGAGGAAAGGTGCGCTTCTCAGGTCTTCCCAGGTTGGGCCAGCTTCAATGCCGGATGATGTAAATTGGCACGTGATGAAATGTCATGTCTCAGTCCCGGAATTTATTATGAGGAAGAACCATGCAGGAGGGGGAGGCAGTCCTTATGGGAAAGAGTAGGTAAATTGGAATCCCTATACTGGTGTTTCTCAACCCTGGGAACTTTAAGACGTGTGGACTTCAACTCCCAGAATTCCCCAGCCAGCACAACTGGCTGGGGAATTCTGGGAGTTGA